GCAGCGATTATCGTACGCCACTTTTCTTTACTTTTTGAACGGTTCTTATCAACATTTTATACAGCTTATCCTGAGGTTGGTAGGCAGGTTAGAGTCCGTGATGGAGGAATCAAATGGTTTGATAACACACTGCGCCAGCTGAGAGATATCTGTGACTTGGCTTCTAATCTTTATAACCGTTTCAAAACGGAAAGTCTAAGAGATTCTAGAGACAAAGCCAGATTGTTATACCGTAACAAAATAGCTGAGGCAAAGCGTAAAGCCACGAATAATTTTATTAATGGGTCGAATAATAAATCTAGAGCTTCTTGGGCGGTTATAAACAATAACAGGCCAAACGCCAATAAACAAAATTCAGTGAATCTTGACCCGGATATTCTTAATGATTTCTTTGTTAACGAGGCCAATAACATTGTGTCTCAGCTTGGTCCATTGGCTAACCCTTCTTCAAGCATATGCCCTGCTAGCTTTATCGATGTCCCCATTTTTTCCTTTACACAAGTGTCGGAGTGTGAGGTTAGGGGTATCCTTCAGGGTTTGAAGTCTAGTGGGACTAGAGACATATACGGTGTTCCAACCAAAGTTATAAAGAATAATATTAGCCTATTTGTGAAGCCTTTAACCAGATTGGTAAACAGCTCGTTGTCTTCTTGTGTATTCCCTGATGTGTTAAAGGTTGCGTCTGTTGTGCCTATTTTCAAACGCGGCGATAAAAATGACTGCTCGAATTACCGACCTATTAGTATACTACCGGCGCTGTCTAAAGTATTTGAACGCGTAATTTACAAGCAAATAATAGCACATGTAGAATCAAATAATATGCTTTTTGAAAACCAATTTGGATTTCGACCTGGTCGGAGCACAAAGGATGCAATTATTAAATTTATGAACACCTGTTATGATGCATATGAAAAACGGAAATTCTGCGCTGCATTGTTTTTGGATCTGTCACGCGCTTTTGACAGTGTATCCCACAGTATGCTATTGCATAAACTGCGATATTTTTTCCGATTTGATCAGGACAGTGTTGACTTAATCAGATCATATCTGTCGGGCAGATCCCAACAGGTTAAGTGTGAAAATGGAACGTCTGAGCGACTTCGTATCACGAGAGGCGTCCCTCAGGGATCAATATTGGGACCCCTCCTGTTTATTCTTTTCTTTAACGATTTTCCTAGGTGTTTGGGTGATAATGTGAACTGTTTGTTGTATGCGGATGACGCGACGCTGCTGGTAACGGGTATTGAGTTTGAGGAAGTGATATCCTCCACGGATCGACTGCTGACCGCGGCAAACGAATGGTGTATTGCCAATGAATTGTGTTTAAATAAAGACAAAACGGTCCAATCATTGTTCAGTCTTAGACAAAATTATATAAATTTAAATGAGCTATCCTCTACTAAATTACTGGGAATAACAGTGAGTCCTCCCGACTTGAATTTTGAGGGTCATACGGTAGAGATTGGTAAGAAAATTGCCCGAAACATATTTCTACTACGTAGATTGGTGAATTCTGTGTCGGCTGAGGTGGCCAGAACCTCTTATTTCGCGCTCATACACTCAATATTGAATTATTGTATCATTGCTTGGGGTGGTAGTCCAGCTAGTAACCATATATTTGGCTTGCAGCGCAAGGCGGTGAGGATCATTGCTAAACTTACCTATACAGATGACTGCCGACACGCTTTCAGACAACTTGATATTTTGACACTACCATCTTTGTTTATATGTACTTGAGTGTCTTCTGTACTGTTACGATAACAAACACAAATACTGCACGCATGCCGACGCGCATCGGTTGTAACGTTCGAAGAAGAATTGCTTCAAACAATCATACCTCAATTATAAAAATATTGAATTTGACGTATGTAATTATCTTGTGGCTTAAAGCGGACTATGGCTCTTTGTCGAAAAAAATCTTCTATTAAACGTATACATGTCTACGTGTAAGTAGAATTGTGATTAATATCTGGAACAATCTCTCTTGAGAATATGGAGGTTTTGAGAATTTTAAAAATTTATGCAATTCTATATCTTCAATATGCTAAAACTTCTTTCAATGAAATATGTTGTTGGCGAAAAAGTTGTAAAAGTAATGATTGCTTTAGCTACTGCTGGGAAAATTTATTTTCCTTCAACACATCACGTTGTATTAAACTTAGAACTAGAAACACTTGGGTTTAGTCGTGCATCTCTCAAGATGGCTAAATCTTTAAGTTTCTAGTACTAGGTCTAGTATTAGTTATAGTTTAACAGAAATGTAGTAATTTTCTTATATCTTCATATCTTTTATTAATTTAAAACAAGAATTACCGCGTGCACTATGCTATATCATTAGAACTAACACTAGACCTATGGATGTAGAAGACGAAAATCCTAAAATCATAATAAACTATGCGAATATATCTATGGTGTTTTCGGTTCTGTGAGCGTTTTAACATTTTTACCTTTAGCAGGTTACCGCCCTTGCCCAGGAACCTTCCTTCTTTATCCAGGCTTGGGACTAGCAACACCATTGGAGAATCCACTACTCAAGTGCTGCAGGCGAAGTTTTAAATGCTCATGAAATTATGAATATATAACCCTTTCCAAAATTGTTAGTGTTTTGAATACTGGTCCTGTTGGAATTGAATGTGACAGGCATGATATGTTTTGCATAAGGAAGCATGGTTTCTTGTGAAATATCTTCTTGGTTTAATATTCCATCAATGAGTGTTATTGTAAAATATTTTAATACAGAGGTAAAGGTTAGATGAAAAAGCAAATAGAGATTTCGTTAATTTATTGTATAAATTAATACACTTGTTTCTAAATATTATATACAAATGATATAAAATTTTGACTTTTTCGAAGGGGGGATACGTTATACTTGAAGTATGTATTGTGACTTCGCCAAAGCTATTATATTTTATTTATATTATGTATTTATAAAGAAAAACAACAAAGCTTATACAAGAAAAAAACAAATAATATTTTTACGAAAACCGTGGAGGAAAAATGCAAAAAATAAAATAATACTTTTATATTTTTAATAACGTTTCATTTACCGTGTTAGAATGGCGTGCTTATCCAAATTTGTTTTTTAATAATAATACAAAACAAATATGTAAAAAAACAGTTCATAAAAAACCACCTACGAAAGTACAAACCTTTTTATCTTCTCCCTTCACAGAGATACATTATTATACACACTCTAACTACTCCGTTTTTATTCTGTACAAAATCTATTTACACAAACAATTTCACATTCTTTTCACGATATTTGTTAATCTTCAAGATTTCAAGAAAATCCCATTTCTTTGGCGATTTAAATAATTATGTATAATAACCGGACACGTTATGGCACGCGACGTGTGCGAATCGAGCTCTTTATCACATTCCATAAAACTTTAAATTTTTCTTCCTATTTTCTTTCGACTTTAAAAGTCGCCTTTTTCTTACACGTTGTACCTTTGCAAAGCGCCTTTTATATCTTTATCAAGAACTGGAAGCTCTGGACATTGCTGAAGAAGCGTGAATGCTGGAGACGATACTGGAATCGCAATTGTTATACCTGATAAATACGACGCTGGTATTCGTATGTGTGGTGTGTTTTTAAAACCATTTTTTAATTCTCTTCTACTTTGGTAGATGATATGCGCCACTTGACCTAAACAAAAAATTTAAACATTTATATTTGTTCTAAGGTGTACAAAAATTGTTTCAATGTAATATTTTATATTAATAAATAAATTCTAAATAAATAAAATCAAAATAATCTAAAATTAATAAAAACTACTGTTTCTATACAGGTGTTCCATGCAATTAATTCAATAGATCAGAGCCGACGCTGCCGGGGGTGCAAGGAGTGCACTGCACCCGGGCGCCGCCTAAAAGGGAGCGCCTTTTTAATGTTTTCTCCAACAATATCTTATCTTTCTTTTGCAGTATTTATACCTGTCAGCAGTAACTAGTCTTCAGAAAGCAGTATTTAGTCTCCACAAAGCAATTTTAGTCTTTAGAAAGCAGTATTTAGTTTTTTAGAAGCAGTATCTAGTCTTCTGCCAACGTTATGTATGTTTTGTTCTTGATACTGACAGCTACTTCTTTCTGCGTGTCTATCATCATCTTTTTGGGAGCCTCTTGTTATCTATACGGATCTTGTACCACCCAGTACCTCATTTCTGCAGCTGTTACTTTGCTTTTGTGCTTATCCTGCATTGGCAAAGTTTCCGTATTGGTGATTTCCTGTCCTCTGCAATAACAAGACAAGTCCATTGGTTTCTTGTTCATATTCTTCGCATTCTTTTATTGAACACATAAGTATTGCCATGAAAAATCATGTTTGGTTTATAATCAATTTTTTGTTTTCTCTGAACAGTAATTTGAGACTTCATGTGGACTTTGAACAATGTACTTAATTCCTGTTTTTTGCTGATGTTTAGTTTATAACTATTGCAATTTCAGACTTCTTCTTGCAAATTAACCTTCTGACCAGAGTATTCCCGACTATTCCCTTAAGTTTGGTTTTTCACCAGTATAATCTTAAATTTTTGCTAAAGTATGGATTATGATTATTCCAGTCTTTTTTAAGTTTATTTATATTTCTTTGATTATATATATTTTTTTAATTAAAATGCATTTTTTAAATTAAAATGAATTTTTAATTTTTCCCCTCATTTTGGGCGCCCCCCCGCATTCCGCCCAAAATGCTGGGCGGGCACTCCGGTTCCCGCACCCTGGCGTTTCATTTGCTAGCGCCGGCACTGCAATAGATCATCTTTTAGGTTTCTATTACTAATGCATCTTTGTAATTAAGATTGAAAGATTTGCATGTCGATTTTTTTATCTAAGATATTTTCAAAATGGTCTCCACTAGTGATGGCACGGATCGCCGTTTAGCCGGTTCACCAGACCCGGAATTCCGGCCAATTCGTAAGCCGGATCACTGGAATTCCGGCCGCCGGATCATTCGTTATTTTTCGCTACAAATCGTGCTTTGGCGACTGCTATCTAAAAACTTTATTTGCAAGTTGAAACACGTTCACTCTTTTAGTGTTTAGTTTAATACGACGTGTATTAGACAGGTTTCAGATATTCGATACTTAAAACCCTTAAAACACGTTAGTTAGTTAAAAACTTCCTTGCGAAACTGCCTGACTGACGGCACGTCCGGGTATGCGTAATAAAGTCGGTTGAAATGTTATCGCACAAATATGGCCGGACCGTCAAAACCATATATACAGGTGTCCCGTTAAGGGTACGGAGCGGCTGTATCTCAACAACGGTAAAGCCTAGAGGTTTGGGAAAGAAATCCTTATAGGCAAAGTAACTGCCATTGAGAAACATAAAATTCCCGCTATCTCAGAAACTTAGAAGATGAGCTATAATTTTGACAACATCATTTAATAGCCTGGATAATACCGCTTCACTTTTTTTTGCGATATTTCTCATATATGTCATAATAAGGGAGGGGAGGCTAATGCGTTTTCATATGTTTAAATTTTAATATCTCCTTAATCTCTTTAAGTTGATTTAACGCAACTTATCTCTATACTAAGTTGTACCCCTGAGGAGTTATAGACCTTCAAAGTTGGGTCTTAAATTTTTAAAACATTCAATATCTTCGTAATACATTAAGCTAGAAAAACCAAATTTGGTATACGTTATGAGTGAATTGGTAGCAAGTTGAGAACAATTGAGGCATTTCAAAGGGTTGATTAAGGGTGATGGTCCCCTAAATTTTGACAGATTTTTTTAACCTCTTGGTGAATTTAATACATTATTACCTCATTTCATGTAGAATTTAATTTTAAAACGTTTTTTACTCTTATTATTTTTTAAAAAACATTGTCGTTTTCATAAAAAACTCAAATAACTAATGACACGTATTTCGTTAATGCTACTTAAATCATCGAAAATTCAGTAGTCGGCTGTGAAATTGTACGTAATTTTAGAAATAAACTGTTTATTATGAGCTAAAAAGACATCATCCATAAACAAATTTAGTTTAGGCATAATAATTTTCTAGTGATAAAGAGAAAATATCCAAAATGTCANTTTATACAAAAGTTGTTTAATATTTTATTTGCCATAATAAGACAGCATTCAATTGTTTATATTTCAGAAAACAAATGAGCAACGAATAACACTTGAATTTTTTTAAATGGCAATGTACCCTTTCGTTTCTCTTTACGATGATGTAAAATTTTAGTACCCTTATATCAGAAAATTTTTGAAAAAATTTAAAAATTGTTTATTAAGAAAACTTTTAGTTTTTTATGATATATTTTTTTATTATTTATATTGTATTATTTATTTTAAAATATACCTTTGGTGCTTCTTTATATTTTTATTTTGTATTTATTTTAATAATTAATCTAATAGTAGATGATCAGATAATTGTGCAAATATTCTCATTATTAAAAATGTATTGCCACATTTAGACATTGTTTTGCATTCTACGTAAATTAAATGTTTAAATTTAAATTAATGATATACAAATTTTTTGATCTATCCGAAAATATTAATCGCTTCAGGTTTGTTTTTCTTGGGAGACACTACGCCGACGTCTCGGTTACTGAGAATACCGAGCTCCACTATGTCTCGGGCAATGTTTGGGACGGAGCAATATTTGCGATGTTGCCGTATTTATACTCCACAAGCAATCAAAACGGACTACACGTTTTAAACCCATTTTATTTAAATTTGCTGCATTTAATAAAAAAATTGAACTCTTTAAATATGATTTACTTTACATTCCACTACCTCGTGATGCATTCCGTTTTTAAAAATTTTTTAAAACGTGATTTTAGAAACGTTACGGGACATTTTTTGAAAAAACTAAATGCATCACTAAAAACTATATAAATAAATAGAAATTTTGATGTAACATACATACAAAAATTTTAAACGATGGCTGAATAAAATGGTATTCGTTGTTTTTGCTAATAGGTTATCCTCTTAAGAACTTCCTTGCGAAACTGCCTGACTTGACGGCACGTCCGGGTATGGGTAATAAAGTCGGTTGAAATGTTATCGCACAAATATGGCCGGACCGTCAAACCCATATATACAGGTGTCCCGTTAAGGGTACGGAGCGGCTGTATCTCAACAACGGTAAAGCCTAGAGGTTTAGGAAAGAAATCCTTATGCGGGAGATGCGGTTTTCACTAATATTTAGCAAATTTTATGGTGATTAAGGGTCTGTGAAGTAAATAGTACCGTTCCATTTAACTTTCTTTCAAAAATCACAAAAATATCTAACCGCTGCAGATAACGCCCTCTTGCTTATTTGTTTTAAACCAAGCGGTCTTACTGAAAATATCTTTTAAAAGAGCATGAAATGCTCTTTCAAACAAGACCAAAAATATTCAAATCGGTTGAATGGTCCAGGAGATATTAAAATGTAAACATTTGAAAACGCATTGGCCTCCCCCTCCCTTATTATGACAGATATGAGAAATATTGCAAAACAAAAGCGATGCGGTATTATCCAGGCTATTAAATGATGTTGTCAAAATTATAGCTCATCTTCTAAGTTTCTGAGATAGCGAGAATTTTATGTTAACTATGGTTTCCATTTAAAAAAATAAAGTTACGTCTAAAATCTCGAAAATAAAAGATGGGAAAAAAATTTTACCTACGCCACTAAATTCTTCGTAAAAAGTTGTAAAAACTTAAGCTTTGTTCGTTGGGACTGCTCTACTTGCACTCACTTGCACTAAGCAGTTTAGTGCAGATGTTATGTGTTCGTTGGGATAGTGCAGTTGCACTCATACTGTTCGCTGGGCCATGTGCAGTGCAATTTAGTACAGCCGGTGCAAGTTAGTGCAGATTTTGTTGCACCTGTTTTCGATTAAGTTCAATAAGTGCAGTTTAATCCAGTGTAATTAAAATGGCGGAATATTTGAAAGCGTGTTTTGTAATAATTAATATTAATACTAAATATTAAGAAATAAAACCTTATAATAATTAATATTTGTTGTATTAGAGAACACAGTATATTCAAACCCAGTAGAGGCAGTAGAAAACTACCCCTACTTTTTTGGAATAATTTAAAAACTACCCTGTCGATTTTGGCTTCATTAAATACACTTATAGTACATTTAAAAATATTAANAAATATCAAAATTGAGTACTTTTGGTATTAAAATTGATCATAATTCAAGGATGAAAGGTGATGGAGAAAAGTTTTTTAGGAATAAGTTGTTTATTGTCAACTAAGAAGACATCATCCATAAACAAATTTAGTTTAGATGTAATGATTTTCATGTGATAAAGAGAAAATTCCCAAAATGTCAAAATTGGGTATTTTTGCTGTTAAAATCGATCATAACTCAAGAATGAAAACCTTGTCGTCAAATAACTTTGTAATCTGTTTGTCAAGTTTGACGTACAATTTCATAGCCGACTACTAAATTTTCTCTTATTTTAAGTAACATTACGAAATACGTGTCTTTACTTATTTAAGTTATTATGAAAACGACAAAGTTTTTTAAAAAATAATAGGAGTAAGAAAAGTTTTAGAATTAAATTCCACATGAAATGAAGTAGTAATGTATTAAATCCGCCAATAGGTTAAAAAAATCTGTCAAAATTTAGGGGACCATCACCCTTAATCAACCCTATGAAATGCCTCAATTGAGTTTAATTTGTTAAAAATTAATACCCTTGGTACACTCATAACGTATACCAAATTTGGTTTTTTTAGCTTAATGTATTACGAAGATATTGAACTTTTTAAAAATGGAAGTGCCAACTTTGAAGGCCTATAACTCCTCAGATGTACAACTTAGTATAGAGGTAAGTTACGTTAAATCATCTTAATTTATTGTCCTCTACATGTGCCAGCTCTGTGTCGGTTCTTATGTGAATCACCCTGTATATTGTGAAATGTATTTATATTAAATATTTTTTTTCTCTGACGAATTAAATGTACCAAGTTTTTGTACATTTTATAAATAAAGATTGTTATATTGTTATGTTGTATTACCATTATTAATTAATTATGGCTAATTTATTACTTAAAAATCTTAAGGAAAATTATAAAAAACAGTTTTTTTAAGATAAAACAGCGTGGGATTAAATGGGTTAATAAAATGCGCAACGCCAAGAATACATTGGGAAAATTTTCAATTAAACAGTTTTTAGTTATGAAATTTAGAACTTCAGTTAGATCAGTGATCACCATCTGTTAAAGACAGTTGGAAATCCTAGCATTTTAAATATCTCTTTGCTAATTAGCTAATATTATTAATGTTGGTTATTTGGTAAATTATTATTATCTTCTTTATGATTAGGTAATAAATTATACAAAAAAATTATTACTGTATGAATCTCCTTTTGATTGATAAAAATAATTATTATTATCAATATTAGCTTTAATTTATTAAAGCAATTGTGTATATAATTAAGGAGTAAAGTTACACATTTTATATACAGGATGACTGGTACATAAACGTGAATATTGAAATACGTTGTTCTAGAGATCACTTGTAATTGATTACGCTAAACATGCGTTATAGAAAAGTGAATAATTTAGAAAATATTTCAACTTTTTTTCAAAATAGAGGTGCAGTTTTTGAAGCAGACTTGTAATTGGACCCCCTCTTGTAATAAGGAACCAACTGATAATTTTTACTAATAGGTATGAGTTAAGTATTTATTCAAAATTAAAAAAGGTCGTTTTGCATATTACCAATAAGAAACCAACGGTAAGGTTTTTTCCAGTTGGTTCCTTATTGCAACAGGGGGGGTCCAATTGTGTTTCGCACTGAGTTTTTTTGAGTTAGAAGTTATGTCACATGATCGTGTTAATTTTTTTTTAATGTTAGTTGCTTAATTTTTTATGGTTGTCTGAATTAACGTTATGTTTTAGTTCCAATAAGCAACAATAAATAGTAGGTGTAATCGATTTTGACTTTTATTAACTTTGGGTAGGTTGTCAAAATTGTATTCGCGCCACTTGTTATCTTATTATTGGGTAATTAGAAAGACATTTTGCCATGCTTAATACCTTATTCGAAATGTAAGAAAACAGAGAAGTTTTTACAATAATTGGTACGCTAAATGTATTATCAAAATTTTGAAATAAACGCTCGTAAATGAACACATTATTTAAAAATTAACTTAAAAATCGAATATTTCACACCCTATATTTTTAAAGCATCGAAATATTTAAAATGTTTTTCAACTTAATATGTGTATTAGAGTGTAATCTATCCAGAGAAGTCAATACATTGCCAAAGAAACTATTATTACTCTCTAAATTTCAAGATTTGTAAGAGTATGTACTGAACTTGTACAAAAAGCAAAAAATTGAAATATTTTCTAAATTATTCACTTTTCTATAAGGCATATTTATCGTAATCAATTACAAATGAGCTCTAGAACAAC